GCAGAGTGTCCTACCGGGAATAGAGAGCCCAGTCTCCTTTCCCCAGCAGCAGGACTCTGTATTGGGAGCAGAGACAGTCGGTCTCCCTCCCCCACAGCTGGAAGTATGTATGGGAGGGGAGCTTGTTACCCCCTCTCCCCAGCGGCAGCTTAATGTACAAAGGGGAGACAGTAAGCCCCACAACGGTGCAGATGGGACCGTGGTCTCTACACTGCCAGCACAGGGGGTAGGGACGGTCGGTCCTGCCCCCCAGCGACAGGGCTGTTTAGCCAAAGGGGAGACAATCGGTCTCCCCCTCCAGCAGCAGAGATGGGTAACCAAAGGGGAGACGGTCGGTCTCCAGCAGCAGGACTGTGCATCTAAAGGGGAGACAGTCAGTCTCCAGCAGCAGCAGCAGAGCGGTGTATTTAAAGGGGAGACAGTCGGTCTCCCCCTCCAACAACCAGGCTTCCACCAGGCTACCCTCCCAGTAGCGCTGGCAACAGGGCAGAGTGCCGCTGGTCTCTGCCCACGCAGCAACCCACCAAGGCAGCGTACCCGTACCCAGCACAGCCGTGGTGAGGCACCTGGACATGGACAAGCTTCTTCTCTACCCAGGTGAGTAACCATTTATTGTGGGTGGGCTGTGCTGTTGATTATGTTTTGTGGGTGGGCTGCTGGACTAACAAGGGCACTGACCGGCAGGAGGTCAGATACCCTGTTAGTCTGTTTGGAAAAGGGGAGAGATGTGACGAAACCAATCTCGCCACATTGCATTGGAGGAGCCTGGTTGCCCGCCTGCTGCCTTTGGATTATGGACCGGCAGCTAAAGGGTTAATTTTACTGTGCAGAAGGATTTATTTCTCCCTTTCTGCACAGCCGTTCGGTAGATTCCATCTACCAAACAAACAGTCTCTTTTCAGCCTCCCCAGAGCCGTGGGAAGCCGGCCGGCGACCTTAATTGGCCACCCAGAAGCTGGAGTGCGCCCTCCATTTACCTCCCTGAAGCCGCGGTTAACCGCGGCTTAACGAGCGTGTGCCGGCAATTGACCACCCAGTAGCTGCGGTTAACCGCAGCTTAATTGATTGTTACTGGGTGGTCGCGGTTACACTTAGCCGCCACACGATGGCGGTGTTCTGGAGCTCCCCGGGCAGCCAGCGCTTGTCTGCCCGGCTTTCATGCACCAAACCCGGACACTTTTACGTGCAGGCACCGCTGAACCTCCAACCCCTGGTTCTAATTCGCACGGATTGAACGAATGCATGTAAATTCGGTATTTTATGTTGGAGGAATGTTTTAACCCAGATAGCTATGCCATGGAGCCTATTCGTGGAATTAAAGACTTTGGCTCCATGGCAATTAAAACTGTATTCGTGTGGTCTGAGTGCCATTCACCTAATAATGTGCACTCAGACCTGAGCTATCTGGGGATATGTTACATGTCTGTGTTTTATGTAGTAAATGTTACTTTGTGCATTTTAAAGTATAATGCTGGTTTTGTGTTCCCACGTGTGTAATGGAGTTTTGCCTTTGACTTGGGAGATAATTGAGTTACTTCCCAATTATCTCCCAGGGCAGAGGGGAGGAAGCCAGGATGCATTGTGGGAATATACTGTGACTGTGTGTCCTTTTTGTATACTTGTCTGTCCCTTGTCACAGTCTCCCATTTGGTCCCCTAGGGGAGTGTCCACCAGGTGGGAGACCTGCATAAAAGCTGGGCAGGTAGCCCTCATTAAACAGACCACTGCTTGACCCTCAACACGGAGCTCTGTCTCGTCTTTGGGGGGATTTACTGTATGCTGCTAAGGACTGATTGCCAGGAGTGTAAGCCGCTTGGGAGCTTTTCCTGTTCGTCTGGTAGCAGCAATTCGTATGGTTCCTGTTCGTGTATTTGGAGTGCTACCTTATTCCCTTGTATGCCGTTCGGGAGTTTGGAGCATTCACTTGTATGCAGTTCGAGAGTTTGGAGCATTCACTTGTATGCAGTTCGAGTGTTTGGACCATTCCCTTGTATGCAGTTCGAGTGTTTGGAGCATTCCCTTGTATGCCGTTCGGGAGTTTGGAGCATTCACTTGTATTCAATTCGTGAGTTTTGGTGATTCTACAGTAGCTGTGCCTGTCTCTGAAAGGGGATTATCGTCTAAGCGGTTTTTTCCCCTTTTGTGCAAAACGGTCCGTTACACAGGGCTCTAAAGTCCTGAACTAAGCGATATGCTGGCCAGTGGTGTTGGGAGTGGGTCTGGTGTTGTTCTTGCCTACAGGGCATATTTTGAGAAAGGTGGGGTTGTTGGGGTGTGTGGGGTTTCCTGGGGTTTCCTGGGGTGTGGACACTCATTCCTCCAGTGGCCATATTGGCCACAGTTGAAACAAGTGTTCCTGTCTATTCCTCCTTGGTTACCCCTGCCCCTATAACCCTGATTTCCTTGTCTCCATCCCCTTGCCCCTCTTTGACCACCCCTTCCACTGGCTTTATGTGCTCCATCCCATCCTCGCTCTCAGCCTGTGTAGGTGGCAATCCCTGAGCATAATAAGCAACCTTACTTTCCTAAATCTTTTCTTAATTCAAAACAACCTGCATTTTCCTTTTCTATAACCTTGGTAAGAAAATCTGAGCTATCCAAATTGGCCCAGTCTGATCAATTGTTTCACAAGCAAAGAATACTGTGGCAACATATTACCAAGGCATGACTGTATTTTAAAGAGATCTATATCATCTCCAGACATCAAACCTGCCTCATCCTTCCAACACTTGTAAAATTTCTTTACAAAAATCATATTACCAATCTCTTCCTTTGCATCTTGCTTATATGCCAAAGCAGTGAATATAGACTGCTTATTCTTCCATAATCCCAACATTTCAGCTTCCACCTTGTTCCAAATTTTAGCACATCTTACTGAAGTACTAAGCTCATAATCACCAATTCATTTCAAACCATATAACTCATACTCAGCATCCAATGTAATATTACACGTCATCTCACAAAGCAATATCTTTGTAGAAACACATAATGGGTACCCAGCAGATATGCCAATACAGAAATCACATTTATGGGCACACAACTACACACTCTGTCTCCCTCCTAGGAAACACGGATAGACACAATATAAAAGCAATCTTAAACTAACACCTCCAAATCTCCAACTATTCTTGGCCAAAACGCTAGTATTCAACAACTAATAAAACAGTTATTTGCTAGGTTATTTGGCTGTCATTCTTATCAGTATCACTAGACTGTGACAAACTGATTCACATATAATTTAAAACAATACAGGTACATATAAATTAAACCACTTTCAAGTTAAACTGCACACTTATCACACATTATCACAATCACCATTTACACAGAATAAACAGTTAACAGCTGTATTCAGAACATATTATTGGAAGGTATACCAATTTTAGTTTAGATTTATTTTAGGGATTCTTATGTATACATTTTCTTAATTAACTTCATTACTTTAATCTACTATAGTATTGTATTTAAAGAAAGGATCCATTTATATAGCGCGCTCATAACTCAACTATTTGTATGAAACTACCATTAACTAATCTGAGATGATGCTGCATCTACTTAAATCTTACAGAAATTGAACAAACATCTGGACCAGATTAAACAGACATGGTTTCACCTGAATCTTTCAGAACTCTCAGAGACTTAAAAATTTATACTGTACCATGTTTTAAAGGCATGGCAAACCTTTAGACAGTCTCCAAGAGCCCTTAGTAACACAGGTAAAAACCTTTGTCCATGATGTCTGATTCAGGCTATATACCACAATTTAAAATAACACATAATGTGAGACATAGAAGACACAAGCAGTAGTTATTACACTGGATCATTTAAAAGGAACCTGTTGCAATAAAAGGTTAGTTTACAGTGCAAAATAAAGCATGTGTTGGACCGCTGAAAATGTAAATGTTGCTCTGTTATTTTCAAACAAAAATCATATTTACAGTATGGATCCTTTGCAACAAACACACAGGGCAGGGAAGATGTGCTGATTGGTGTTTCTATACAATTAATCCCATATGGGGAATTAACTTCCAAATACTAATGAAGTGACTTTTTGTCTCAGTTATAAAATATACTGAGCTCATCATGCAAACAATGCAACACATTTACACTATCCCACTCTCATAATAAGTGTAGTGGGCTTATAGTATTTTTAAAGCAACAATCATTCCAGGCACACAGATCCCATGTGAAATAACTTACAATAAAACAGAGTAATAAACTTATACTTCTATGCGACAGAAAGAATAAAGCAAAAAGATTTAAGTAGGTTTATCAGGTACAACCTGTGAGTCATTTCTTTTCTAATATACAGTACTGCTATCTTGCAGAAAGATAAGTCCTGCGCTCACTCCCATCACTACTGGACAGCAGCAAGGACTACAGTACACATCAGCCCCAATATATGGTAAAAACCAAAGAAAAACAAGTTACCTGCTTTCTCTCCTTAATCCCTATGTATTTTTAAAACCTCCATTTGTTTAAAAGTACTGCTATCTTATATATACACATATACATATACACACACATATATACATACATATACACATATATACATACACACACATATACATGTACATATATTGGTCACTCAGGACATGAACTCACATTTCCCATACTGCTGACTCAGAGTGGGGACACTACTAACTTACCAAAGTGTGTCCCCAATATAGACAAACAATCACCCACAAAAAAACACTTAAGACAAACAAAGGTGACCGGGAGAAAGAGAAGTTTGGGTTATACTTATAGATCTACAAACCGTGCTACTCAGAACACCTATAGACTTAATAAACCGGAGACCTCTTATGGTCTCAAAACCTGTATCTACCTGAGATACCCTGTATCTATCTTAGATACTAACCTGGGTTACCAAAACCCTATAATAAACCGGAGACCTCTTATGGTCTCAAAAACCTGTATCTATCTTAGATACTAACCTGGGTTACCAAGAACCCTATATATATTTAGACCAAATGTCTAATAAACCGGAGACCTCTTATAGTCTCAATATAACTAGAGTCCTTACACCTTTCCTATCTACTGGATACAGACTTACTGAACCAAAGGGGGTCATAGACAATCAGCGTCAAATAAGACACAAAAAGGCTACTCACCGCAAATGGTTTTGCTGATCCACTTCTATCCCACTTCTAGACACCAAGCTGAAAGGGTTAATGTTGTAATGGACTCTAATCCCCTCGGTTCTCGATCCCTCGGTCACCATAATCAACGTTGATGGAGGATCATTGTAAGCAATAACACACGGACAACAGCTTTACAAGACTCTCAAATGAGTGTATTCCAGAGCTGGCTTTTATACATAGTTTGCTTACATTAGCCATGGTATATGCAAATACAGTACAGACTATAAGATTTATTACTTCCTTGTATTACGTTATTCTGACAATGGAAATATAAGCTTTTGCATACGTCTGGAAAAGAATATCCTTAAAATCGGAATGGGCAAGACATCCTGAAATTTAGCATTGTCTTACATCCTATAGAAGAAATACCTTAGTCTGTCACAGTCAGCATATTGACTTTAAGTATTCAATATCCCTTCAGTCAGCAATAATTATGTGTTATAAACCTTATAAAAGCATAAAATACATATAAACAAGTTAACTATTTAATATTCTTACAGTCCTAGCCCACCCCTAGTTTTTGGTCGGTACAGTACCTGTATGGCTATCCTGTGCCTCTTTTGTGCCCATATAAAAAACATCGGTAGTAAATGGGTGTAGAGCAGATGGGGCTTCTGCTCCAGTAGGAGCGGATGGAGGGCTTCTTTATGATGCCCATCAGCATAGTCAATGCCCAGAATCTTTTAAATTCTGGCACATCGATGGGGGCCCATTGCTGCTTTGCCAAAAAAGAGTCAGGATTTGTAGCTCGGAATTGATGGGCATATAAATTAGTTTGGGCGACAATGTTCCCCAATACATCATCGCCCAGAAACACCTCCATAAACTGCTGAGGGCTAAATCCTGTGACATCCAAATTAATGCCAGGATTTGCATTAAAGGATGGGATGTCTGGCCTCTGGCGATGAGTCACTATCCACTCCTCAGCAGTTCTGTCAGCTGGAGCAGCACGTCTCCTTCTGGCAGGGGGACTAGCAGGCACAGATACAACATCACCAGATACATCACTAGCAGTAGACACTGTATCTAGTGATGATGTATCTGAGCACCTGGCAGGGTCAAAATCAGGGTCAGAGTCTGACAAAGACACGTCAGACTCTAGCGCAAGGGTGGCAAATGAAGGGTGGCATATGACTGCTCAGCGCTGGTTGACTTCCGTGACCCATGTGACATGATCACAATCACTTTACTTAGTGACCTGTCACAAAAAAAAAAAAAATAACCACTGAAAAAATTAACAGACAGCAAAATAAGTGCTGCTGTGCAAGAGCCTGTGATCTGTATAGTGATCACTGTCAGGGCAAGGGTTAATCGTTCTGAAAAGAGCTTTTGGGTCTCAAAAAATAAAAAAAGATCACAAAAAATGAACCCCTAAAAAAAAAGGCACAAACAGCAGAAACGTGCTGCTGTGCAAGAGCCAGTGATTATAGTGATCACTGGCAAGACAGGGGTTAATGGCTCTGAAAAGAGCCTTTGGGTCTCCAGATTTTACAAATCCCTACCTATAAATACCTAAATCTCTCTAGCTAATCCACAGATCTCTCTCCCTCTCTCACTAAAACACAAGTGAAGAAAGGGAGGCAGATCCACACTAATCAGAGAAATGGAGTTCCTGTTTTAACCCTCAAAGTGAAGTGTCGTCTCATTATTGGGGGAAGGATTTATTGTATGCTGTTCCAGTTTGACTGCTAGGAGAGTAAACCTATTCGTATGGTTCCTATTCAACTGTCTACAGCATTCATTTGCTTGAGAGGATTCATATGCTTCTCCGGTTCAGTGGTTGTGGTGTCTGCTGCAGTGCTTGGAGTCCTCAGGAAGCGCTAGGAGCATCCTTTAACGGAGGTACCCAGTCGGGGTGCCAGGTGATCCGTTACACTCAGTATTATTATACAGAGTGAGATGTTTATTATCAGCGTATAGATACTCAGTATTATACAGAGCGACATGTTTATTATCAGCGTATAGATACTTAGTATTATTATACAGAGCGACATGTTTATTATCAGTGTATAGATACTCAGTATTATTATACAGCCGACACTCCCCCTGCACCAAATCTATTTCCAATCCCAGGAAGCTAAGACATTCGGTTGGGCCCTCAGTCTTATCCGCCACCAGCGGCACCCCAAAGTGGCCTGCCACCCATTCCATGGTCCGCAACAAGTGCAAGCATTCGGGGCTGAGTCCGCTGGCCCCACGCAGAGGAAGTCATCCAGGTAGTGTACGACCGCTTTGCACCCCGCCTCAACCCGGACTACCCATTCGAGAAACAAACTTAATTTCTCAAAGTAGGAGCATGAAATGGAACAACCCATTGGGAGACATAGGTCCACAAAGTATTGCCCCTCAAAGTAACACCCCAGCAAATGGTGACACGCCGGGTGTACCGGGAGCAGCCGAAAAGCAGCCTCGATGTCCACCTTGGCAATCAGCACCCCACGCCCCGTCCGTCTCACCAGCTCGACCGCCTGGTCGAAAGATGCATAGGAGACTGAGCACAAGTCTTTGTCGATGTCGTCGTTCACTGACGTTCCTTTGGGGTAGGAAAGGTGGTGAATGAGCCTCTACTTCCCCGGCTCCTTTTTGGGGACCACCCCGAGTGGCGAAACCCGAAGGCCCTCCATCGGGGGTGCCTGAAATGGTCCCGCCATCCTGCCTAGCAGCACTTCCTTAGCAAGCTTGTCCCGTACCACCCCTGGGAATTCCGCCACCGATTTAAGGTTGCGCAAGTCCCGGGTACCGCCCCTGTCCCGAAAGGGGATGAAGAACCCCCGCCCAAACCCAGCCCGGAGTAACTCGGCATCCGCCCTGTTACCGTAGCGGCTTAGCCAAGGTTCCATCGTGCCTAATTTCAGGGGAAGCCCCCCCACCACCCCCGCTTGTGGAAGGGGCCGAGGCTCCCCCCGACTTACCCTTCTTGAAACAGTGCTGCAGTCCATGGTCCCCTCCACAACCCGAGCACTCGTGCTTGAAGCAACATGATGCACCCCACTTGCATTGGCCTTCGTTGAAAAGCCAGCATAAGCCCTTTTGTGAAGCGGCCGACGAGGCGGACTGACCCTTTGCACCAGCCGCGTGCTGAAAGGGCTGCGCCTTCTGCGCCATCATAAGCTTCATCCAGAGCTTCCTTCTTATCCTCTTCCTTGAGGTCAATATAGTCCTCCAAAGGAAGAAGGGAGAAGATCTCACAAAATTCACCCCCCCAAATCTTGTCCTATACCTCCTGTTTGAGATGGACACCCAGCGGACCCGCGAACGACACGTAAGCGTGGTGCCTAGCCGCATTTGGTCCCACCTCATACCCGGATTGGCCACGAGCCACTGCCGGAACTGTTCATCGTACCACCACCAGGCCAGCCCCCCATAGGTGCGGTACGCTTCCCAAATCCCATCCAAATAGCAGAACAGGGAGGAGCAGGATCCTGGCGATTTCTCGCCAATCACGCTGGCCAAGACACAGAACGCCCTCAACCAGTTCCCGAAAGACTTCGGGATCTTGTGATAACGCTTCCGCTTTTCCTCCTCCTCTTTCTTTTCGTCCTTCTTATCCTCTTCCTTGAGGTCAATATAGTCCTCCAAAGGAAGAAGGGAGAAGATCTCACAAAATTCACCCCCCCAAATCTTGTCCTTGACCTCCTGTTAGAGATGGACCCCCAGTGGACCCGCGAACGACACGTAAGCGTGGTGCCTAGCCGCATCCGGCACCCCAGCTGTCAGTTCGGCCCGCTTGGACCCCGTGTCCACTGCGCTGGTCAACACCCTGGAGTCTCCGCCGACGCCCGCCGACGCCGCGACCCCGTCGCTCGCTCCCGCGACTGCTGCCCCTTGCGCCCAAACTTGACCCACACTGCCAGTCGCCAAGGCCTCCCTCCGTGACCTGCCTTGCTGTGGTTCACCTAAGGCCTGGTCCTTCCTGCCCCTGGGACTACGACTCCTAGATCCCCTCCTGGACGTCCGCCCCTGTGAACCATTCCTGGGGGTCCCGACCCCCCCCCGCCTGGCTACCTGATGTGGACCTGCATCGTGACCCCCCACGCTCGCCACCACTCCCGACTGACATGGGGCTAACACTGCTGGACCTCGAACGAGACCTAACACTCAAACTACGCCCCCCGCCCCCACCCTTATGATCACGGGACCGTGATCCCCCCCCCAGACAGGGCCCCAGGGCCGCCAGGGTCCCCACTATGACCCCCTGTCCCCTGGATGGAATCCTCTTGCCCCCCAAGTACAGGTCCCCTCGCCGCTCTGCTGACCTTCTCATCTCCTGACTTACCCCTGGTAGCTCTAACCAGCTCCCCACCCACTCCTGGCGATGCTAAGGACCCACCAGACGACCCTTGGATACCTGACAGGGCTCCCCTGTCAGCTGAAGTGGCACTAGTCCCCTCTCCAGCCCCCCTGAAGCTACCAGGGCCCCCCCTTGACCCCCTATCTCCAACCACCCGTGACCCAGGGGAATACCTCTCATCCCCCACACCCCCAACCCGCTCTCCTGGCCCTGCTCGCCCCCACTCCCAAGTTGGTTGCCAAGGGGGGCCTGGAAGGGACCCCCTGCACTTGCCTGGTGTCCCTGTGGTCTGCTCCGTGCAGACCTGGCGACATTCCTGCTGGGCCCAGCCTCTGATGCAGGGGGCGCCCTCCTGGGCCGCAGCCCCTTCTCGCCCGGCACTCCGGTAGGCCGTCCTGCCGCCTTCGCGGCCTCTGAATCCGGCGAGGCCCCGTCCAAGTCAATTACATTGATAGCTCTGTATACATAAGTAATGAATGTTATATTATATTTGTATTTGTCTCTGGGTTGTTTGATTCAACCTCCCTTTTTCTGTAGACATCAGACATTCCTTAGCTCAGGCTTGAATGAATAGAGTTACAGAGATAAAAAAAATTGTGTCTGCATTGTAATACAAAATGGAGTCACCTCTGTCTTAACACAAAATGTCTGCCAGTATAAATATACTGACAACTGTCTGCTTGTTTTTTTCCTCCCTCTCCCCCCTCACTCTGCTCTTCAGAAATATATGTATGATCCTCAGCAGTGGCGTACATACCAGGGTCGCAGGGGTCGCGGCTGCGACCGGGCCCGGCCCACCAGGGGGCCCGGCCGCCCCTGCGACCCGGTATGTACCCACAGGGCCAGCCT